GCGGACTGAGTTGCGGTGGCACAGGAAGCGGCGGTGAACTCAACATCAACGAGTGCCCAAGGACCTCCACGTTGGGCTCCTCGTCGTCGTCCTCCAAGTCGTCCAGATCAATATCGTCGTCCTCGAAGATGCTCGATTGCTCGCTGTCCTCGTCCATAGGGTCGTCAGGCACACCTCCCAATGGTGCCGGCACAAGATGGAGTGAGCTATCTCGAGATCTTGGGATAGAGGCATTCGTAGAGGCGGCGGCAGCAGCGGCGGTAGCAGCATCGGCCTTCTCCTTCTCAAGATACCGCTCGATATCTTCGCGATCCGCCTGCTCTTCTGCATCCTCCTCTTCTCTAACACTGGGCATCTCCAGCTGCAACCCATGCGCAGTCTCTGCCACGTTCTTAACCTTGACCGGGCTGAGTCGCAAGCCCATCTTGAGTTCTTCCACGTTAACGGCCTTACCGCTGACCTGCATCCTATTGCGCCAGCCATCGATCAAGTGAACTGCCTCTTTCCATCGGCTCTCCATCTTGACCCAGCCATCGCGCAACCGATGGATCTCGTCCTCGCGCACCACCACCTCCTCGATGGGGACAAACGATGGGTTCGTCAAGATGATGCGCATATGCTCCAACACATTTTCCAGGTCCCGCTGAAGTTCCTCGCAGCTAGTAGGAATCACCAAAGCGTGCTTTTCCCCTTCGTCCTCCTCTTTCCTCAGCTCGCCTCCGCCCTCCATATTCGTATCCCCGCCCTCATCTTTCTGCTGCTGCTGCTGCTGCTGCTGTTGCTGTTGCTGCTGCTGCACCACAACATTGGCAACCACATCCCACCCACTCATCTCCTGCATCCTCTTGACCGTCCTCCTCACCAGCCCAAGTAGAACCTCATTCTCTTCGCTGAGACCCTTGGCCAGCTCCGCAAGGAACCCGTTCGTCTCCATTCGGAGATCATACCCTTCTGACCCGGTCATCCCCTGCGGAACCCCCATCTTGCCGCCCGCCTCAGCATTATACTCCTCGCCCGCCTGTACCACGATGCTCATCACACCTCCTAGCCCACTACCCATCCCACCGTCTCTCGACGCCCCCCTGGTATGGCCCGTGCCCCTTGTCCTCCCCGCATCCGCCACCGCCTTCTTCAGCCCCTCAATCATGCGATCCCGCTTCCTGATCTCATTCGCACACGCATTTCTCGTTTGCTGGACCAGGCTCTTCTGGCGGGCAGCCTCCTCTTTCAGACGGGCGACGGTCTGCTCGGCAGCCTTTAATTGAGCGCGAGCGTGCGCAGTCTCTTGCTCGGCGAGGGCGGTCTTGCGCGCGGAATCGGTCAGCTTGTCGGACAGTCGGACGATGTCGGTGCTTTGGCGGAGGGACTCGGCGCGTAGGGAGCGCAGGGTTTGGGAGAGGGATTCGCGGGTTTCGGCGTCGCGCTGCAGTAAAGGGCAGGTTTGTTAGCTAAAGAAAAGAGGGGGAAAAGGAAAGGAGGAGGAGAAGAAAGAGGAGAACGGTAAGGAAGGAAAAAAGAAAACGTACGTCGCGCCGGAGGATCAGGTCGTTAACTACCCCCATTATACGACCCATTGTGTGGGCCAGCTCGTCATCGTTGTCGCCCGGGTAGGCGAAGTCGATGGTGTCGCCATCGCGGAGGAGGCCGCGCGAGAGCAGCTGGTTGTTGATGTATATGGATGCCGTGCGGAGGTTGTCTGAGATTATCATGTTGGGCGGTTGTTGGCGGTGTAAAAGGCGGTTATCGTGATCATTCCGACCTCGGCGGCGATGGTGTTTGGGAGGTTAGTGAACTGAACTGGTTCGGCTTTGGAAACTTCTCGTAAAGGGCCGTTTGGGCCTTCCCGATTTACACCACTGTCGCGGCCTGCTGCGACGAGAAGTCGAAGTCGAAGTCCAAGTTGTAAATGGATTGGGTTGGCGTCAAGGTTGGAAGCAGCAAAGCGCCAGGAACCTGACAGCAGCGACAGCAACGGCAATGCAGAGGACTGACCGTTAGGGGTCAATCGATGTCAACCTGTCAAGGGGTCCGGGTCTCAACGAGCTGCATACCACACACACGCACACACACATACACACGCATGTAGGTAATTGGCGAGCTGGTGGTGGGCGAGCGGATGGGCGGCGTTTAAGGCGTCAATCGCTGGCTGAAGGTCGATCAATTGGATGTCTTGTTTTCCCGGCCTCACAATTGGCGAATGCAACATACAGGGTGGCACTGCAGTGGGCAGTTGGAGCAGTGGAGGTGTGGGTAAAGCGTTCGAATCTTTGAATCAACGGAACCGGCATCACACATGTTTACTTCGTTGGGTGAGGTGGTGGGGCCGTTGCTGTAGCAATTCCTCCCCCGGCCCGGCTCACACCCCGTCTCGAGCCCGTATCCAGATACGATCACCCACTTTTGTGGCGGGCCACTACGGGACAACTGGCATGGCTCTCCACAGCTTGGCCGCAACAGCGCTGGAGAGCTGGACCACAGCGGCACCGCTACGTGTAGCTCATCACACCGCATCGTCACAAACACCGCCGGCGACCGCGAAGAAGGAAGGAAGCCAGCCAGGAGAACAAGTTGAAACGCAAGTCAACATACAAAGTACATGCTAAAACCCTAACCCCCGCCTGCGTACAAGCACTTCTGAATGGTTGTTGGACCCCTGATCCGCCTCTTCTCTGTCCTCCTCCTCCACCCTCCTTGGCAGTGATGATCCGACATCTGCATTGGGGGGGGGGGGGGGGGGCTGCAGGCCGTCAGCAGGATACGATTGACAGATGATCCCGTCTCCGCCTTCCATTCGACTCCGACAAGATGCAAATATACATATGTTACAATTGCCAGCCTCGCAAATATTGGGAATGGCTTTTTCCAATCCTCTTGAACTCCTGAACTCCGTTGCCTCTTTTTCCGTCCTCTATTCCGTTGCACAAAAAAATCCCCTTTTGACCCTTTCCAAACAAATGTTGTCGTTGCGGTTGCTGCTGTGTGGCCGTCGATGAAGGCTAATTGACTGCACCAGGATTGTCACCTTGCTTCGTGAATGTTGGGTATATGGTCTTCCAAGATTATATCACCATGACGACGGCGAAAGCGGAATGACTATGCCATGCAATTGACGCCAAGAGGTTCCTGGTCTCAGAAGTCAGCACAACTACGTACGACAACAGATGCGTAACATAAGCGGGAACCGGTATGCAAGACATTTCAGAGTGTTTGAGAAGATTGTTGGAACGCGGTGTTTGTCAGCGTTTGCCTTTTCACCCATGGGAGTTGGACCCAGAGGCGAAAAAAAGACATCTGATGGCCCCGCGTGCGTCATCATGGAATCTTGATATGGGAAGCAAGAAACGCAAACTGGAGATACACACCTGGACATATGGTAGGTTTGGAGAGACTCGCATGGTCTTGCGCGCGCAAGTTCACACCGGACCCTCTCTCCAGCAGGTCTGTTGTGTAGTGTCGTGCTCCCTGAAATAATCGCTTGGTCGCAAAACTTGGAGTTGCCCAAGAAAAGCGTAGCTGTGAACTGCTGGAGTCGCAGAGGTCACAAAGCCTGGTTGAAGGTTATGCCGCTCATGCTTCGGGAACAAACTTGCCGCGCTTCTGGCGCATGGCATCCAGCTTCTGCCTGTCTTCCTCGAACCGCTTCACCAGCTCCTCCTGCTCGGCCTTCTTGCGCTCTCTCATCTGGAACCTGTAGAAGTCCGTCATCTCCTGCTTCTTCTTCTCCGCCTTCTCGATCATCTTCTTCTTGGCCTCCTCGGCCTCGTTCCTGGTGGCCGGGGCGCTTCTTCCACCGCGTGTTACCGTGACGAAACCGTCCTCGTCCGGCTCGTTGCGCAATCTCTTGGCAATCTCGGCCGCTTCCCTCTCTCTCCTGGCGAACATGGTCGAGAACGCATCCACGGCGGCTTGTAGCTGATCCCGATCGGGGTAGGAAAGCTGGTTGTGCGCCTTAAGCCAGATAGAACCCAGCTGTGGTACGCGCTCGGCCACGACATTTCCTTCGCCGCCCCATGTGGGATATTTCTTGGATTTGTGAACCTTTGCGATCGCCTTCAGAACCTGGTGGACGCTCTTCTCGTCGGCGAGCAGCACGACAGCAGTGCTGCCGCTCTTTCGTAGTGGTCGGGTCCATGTGCTGGGGAGTCGCGCAGCAGCTTCTTCCTCGGCTCGCTCGGCAGCCTCTTGATCCTCGCGTTTCCTCTTCTTTCCGTGGGCAGCCAGTAATCGTACCGCCTGTGCGGGCGCGGCGTCCAGGGCGGCGGCAACGGCCTCGGCCTCCTTCCTCTCATCCTCGAACGAAGCGCTCTCGAAGCGGCCGGCGCCGACTAGTGATGCGAAAAGGGCGCGAAGGTGAAGCTCTGTGCTGTCGACGGGGACATTTGCGAGGAAGAGACTCCTGGAGTCGTTGGCTGTGGGGATCTTGGGAGTGTTTCGTCGGACATAGAGGTAGTGAACGACATTGCGAGGGAATGACGGAACGGGAGGGATCGAGATCGGGAGGACGCTAAATTCGCCTATTGTTTGCGGAGATGGCGCCATCTTGATGGAATTGAGACGCAAACGTGCTGTTGACGAGTGTGATTTTCGAGTTAGTTCTGCTTGAAGATTGAAAACTAAAGCGAAGATGGAAGCATTCAGTTCGTTCTGCATCCCGTCGCCGTCTCCACGAAACTTTTGCGCCCCACTTCTCAGCCTTGTAAAATTATACCAAACGGTGATTGGTTGTGATCAGTGCCGTAACATACAGGTAGGTACCTTTAGCGCCTGTGCACACCCTGGAGCTACAAACTTGACCCTTCTCATAGGAAAATACCGACTTCACACAACGACTTTCGTTTACACAAGACTTTGTCTACCACCGCAAAAGCTCGCGAATCTCGGGCTTCAGGCTGCTGGGTGAACAGGGTGTCCGACAGCCACGCCCGTGCTGCCCGTTCAAGGACTCTAGACGGTATACCAGGATCTCTGTCTCGCCGTCGCACAAGTTCAAGCTTTTCCTTTTTCACGCTTTGGCTGCCAGAGCTTGTACAGAAAGGTAACAAATTTCTACATGTACGCCTATAATCTCTCCTATATGTCATGTTTTTCGGCTTCGCTATAACCACATCTTTCAGCTCACTTCAAGTCTTCCAATTCCAGCCTACTGGGTATGAGCTGATTGTCAGACAAGGACAGTCCCAGAAAAGCGGATATACCTGACGGGCTGGTCACGATGTATGATTCCTCGGACGATGACGACCGTCCCGAAATTCCCAGGCTCCAAGGAGAAGAGAATTTTGAGATGTGGGAATGTCTTGCCATAGATACCCTCAGGATGCTTGGCCTTGAGGGGTTTATAAGGGGTACAGAGACACCTCCCCTTGGTAACACACCCAAAGCTATAAACGCGCTCAGGGGCTTCAAGAACAGAAGATGGAACGCATGGAACCTCCTCAATCAGAGTGTCCTGGTTGCGAAATTCCAGGGGCTTATTTACATCGACGGGTACGGCCCATACGATCAGCTGGATGACTGCGATCCAAAATTCCTATGGGATGGGGTGCAAAGCTGGTATAACAACATCAGCGCAGACAGAAAACTCGACTTCCTAAGAGAGCTCACTTCCATCCACTATCGCCAATTCGATGACATCGTTACGTTTCTGGATAGAGCTCAATGGCTTCGACGGCGTCTTGAGCGTGCCGGCATGCCAATAGCGGATGAGATGATGAAAACGTGTCTGTACGGAGGTGTGTTTCCGTCCTACCACAGCAATACCTTGGAAACTCGAATAATCGAGCGGTACAACGATTTGAATTCCCAAGAAATGATTTCGGGTATCAGAGAGTTCAGCGACGTCATCCAAAGAGACTTGAACTATCACCAACAGGAGCAACAAGAAATCAATAGGCGGCGCAATTTCAATGGACTCTCCTCCAGGCATGGCGGCGGTTCAAGACAAGGCGGTCGTCGCTATTGAGGGGCATCTCATGATCTCTCTGGATCGTGTCCCCTGGGGGTCCCTCTGTCACCTTTCACTGGTCATCCAAAGCTCAGGCCGCTAGTGGTTTAAAGGGGACGATGAGAGAAGTTTTCGATACTGGTAGATTATTTCTCGTCTGTTCGAGCGCTCACGTTTGCGAAATCCCGGAGAGCATACCCGTTGGGGAGGTGGTCCGATTTTCTGTCGTTTCCCCGACTCTGCAAAAGAAGCGCAGACCATATGAACTTGATAGGAGGGAAAAGGCTTCCTCAGGAACTCCTTTGGATGGGGAGGAAAAGACGTGCCAGGTCCAGCTAGAGGGAAATAGAAATCGACGTGGGATGCTCCTTCCACACGGACACATCCACCGAATTGCCCATCATCAAACACGTCAAGCATGGCTCGCAACTCGGTGCTTTTCACTAACACCGTCATAGACCTACCGACGCATCCTTTGTGGCTATTTGTACCCCTGTGGTACTCCTCACCAGCTACCTACTTATGTTTCTCGTGCCTGTGCGCCTCCTGATGGCAGGGCACGGGCAGTCTCGCGAAAACATCCACTCTTTGACCGACCATCTCGGCGTGTTTGCCGCACAATTCCCAGTGTCCTCTACCGGCACCTTATGGGCATTAGACTCGCACTTTCGATTGACTATGATCAAGATCTTTGTTTTTATCAGATCTCTTCTTGTCTGAACTCAGTGTCGTTCAAAGAGCCTTGAATTGATGCATCGAGCGTGAAGGCATGCAACACATCGACCCTGGGTTCTTGCAAGGAAAAAGCCGAACACAGAGTCGCCCAGATGCTACATCAAGTTCTTGCGTTATCATGGCATAATGTGTGAGCATTGACTGCAATGGTCTTCCGTGGTTCTTCTGTGCGTATGCAACGCACTCCGTCATTTACACACAACCTGCACGGTCACAAGCTTCGTTTCCACTCCAAACAGCCTGATATAGGCTGGTTCGCTGATTGTGCTTCGACCGTGACTCGTTTCCTTCTTTTCTTTTAGACACAAACTTCACGACTGAACAGCCTCTTCACCTCGCCACTGAACACTCTGTACCATCCACTTTTGGTTACCATGGCTGCTGATTCCACAGAAAGGTGAAGACCGCTCACGGAGATGCACATTCCATCTGCCTGATTGTGTTTCTTCAGCTAAGCCTTCGTCAAGTTACCTTGAAGCTTTGGGCTTTGAACACTTCAACTTCGAAAACGGAACTAACACTTTGATTAGCTCCGTTTCGTGTGATCAAAAACCTCACGAGTCGGCCAACGACATTCGCCATCCAAGATGGCCCCTTTGGCCAGACACCCCCCAGACGTCGGCTTGATGCTTCCACAACTCAAAGGAGAAGAAAACTTTGAGTCATGGGACCGTAGAGTCCTAGGAACTCTCAGGATACATGGTCTTGAGGGTTTTGTCAAAGGGACGGAAACACCTCCACCTGGTGACACTCCCGAGGACTGCCAGGACCTTCAAACTTTCAATGATAGAAGACGTTGCGCCTACCGAATCATCTACTACAGCATTAAGCCTATCTATTCGAAACTTAGTCTCTCCGGATATGACACCAACGAATTGCCGGATGACCTCGATCCAAAGGCCTTGTGGGATGCTAATCATCGCTGGGATGTCATTTTTCACCTCCACACATCTGCCAATGTCAACTTGGTGAGGGAACTCAGTCATATACACCACTCTCAGTTCGATAACCTCCTTGAATTTAAGCGCCGAGCTAACTGGCTTCGCTGTCGCCTCGAGCGTGCCGGTGTGACCATTAACGATGAGCTGATGAAGACATGTGTTTTGAGCGAATTGAGGAATCATCCCGACAAATACTGGAAGACGCTCTTGGTCCTGGGGGCATCGGACTGGACTTGCCTCACTTTGTCGGAGAAGATCGAGACAAAGGCGGCCTGGGAATCCATGAGTGAGTGACAAGTCGCGCCAAGCAAGCCACAACACATCAAGAAGCGCCGCAATACTCGTGGACGTCGTCCTGGACAGAGAGGTCGGGCCAGGCAACGTGCCTCTCCTTATTAACGAGACCAATGACCTCATGTAAAGAGGAAGTAACTCCCACCAGTGGAACACGGTTCGGATTTCTTTCATTAACACGAAGAGAACTTTGAATGTTAGGGGCCGAATATACCGTTTAGTAATTTCAATTTTTTCAAATTCAACGCACGGCAATATGTGAACAACGACTGCCAAGTCAAAGAACTTGGTTTATTTGGGTGGCCTGTCTATCTCTCTTTATACAGGCCCTTCCCTGTTGCAGAAACCCACAATCGATCAGACTACTTCCTTTCCAAAACCCCGGTATTGATAGTAATTTCTGTTTTTCAATGTCACTCAACGCCCATTTGTTTTTACTCTCTACCTTCACCACTATCGGTCTTATTGACTGTTCCAGAGTATTCACGTCCACCCAAATTCTATCGCCTTGGTCATCATGGCTACTTCTCCAACCGAAAGGTGACAAATTGTTTCAGATACACGGATGCTTTCTTGTTCCTCTCAATTTTCTCCATTCCAAGACGAGCCACCAACCACCAAATGCTCCCACTCCACCTGCTCATCCAGTTTCACTGGAGAACCGGGCTAACAAACTTTCGTACCAGCACTACCTCAAGCACTTTTGATCACGAGGCCAAGGAGCTCTGGCCCGAATGGAAGCACTCATTTGGGAAGCACCTTCCGGTCTTTCTTATCCCGAACCTCCAAGATGATGAGAACTTTGAGGAATGGAGATTTATGGCGCATACCAAGCTCTGTGCCTTCAATCTCAAGGGCTTCATCGAGGGCACGGAGACACCTCCTCAAGGGGACGACAGCCGCATTGCCAGATTGAACCGAAAGGTCTTTGCAGAAAGAAGGCAATACGCCTTTCGGATCATCTACGACAGCATCAATCCCATCTTGCAACAACTCAAGTCCAGTGGGCATTGGACCCTTGACACCAACGATCGCGATCCCAAAGTCCTGTGGGATGCTGTTCATCGCTGGGATGTCGACCGTCCCATAACCTACAAATGCCGTCTTATGGAGGAACTCGCCGACATCTGCCACTGCCAACATAATTCAGACATTCTCGCCTACCGCGATAGAGCTTTCTGGCTTCGCACGCGTCTCAAGCGGATGGGCACGCCGATTGCGGATCAACTTTACATGGGCTTTCTGGTTAAAGGCCTACAGACTTATGATTCGATCTGGGCTGATTACCTGTACAAGCAAATCGAGGATGGAAGTCTCAATCCCTCTCAGCTTGAAGTCGACATTGGTAGCCAATACCCCTTTTACAAGAAATTGAGAGAGCGCCGCGAAGATGACCTCAAAAACAATCTCCTCGAACTTGAATCACAGATCAGGGGTCAGCCGAAGAACAAGAGGCGCCGCAAGGCCAAAGACCATCGTTCGGGTCCTAGCGGCGTCGTCAAAAGGTGCTCTAATCGACATTAAGAGCACCAAGGACTTGAAGAAGAGATACGGTCATGTCTCTACCCGATCATGCTTCCTCGCCGGTTCTTCACTCATTAGGTTTCACCTTTGGTGATTATCACGCGCCACTTGTGCATTCGTGCCAGGTGACGAACTATTTCCTCTCTATAAATCTCACTTTGTGTATCAAGCCAAGTGATGGACTTTTATCGTCTGTGTACCTATTTACGCCAGGTGTTAGGGTTGCTCTAATCATTTCATGAGGTGGATTTGACCTCTGAAAACTCACACAAGAGGAAAAGGACTCTCCGTCACCTGCGTAGCAGTGCCAGGTGACATAAGATGAAGTTTGAAAATAGACAAAAAAAAAAAAAAAAAACTCTCAAGTTTCATCCTCCACCTCGACAGATGTTGCAATTTCATCACTTACATCATCCTCGAGAGAATGCCTGGGGTGAATGCAGTTCATCACCGCTTGATTTTTTTCAAGATCCTCCCCCGCAACTCTCCTCACCTTTGCGTGGAGTCAGCCACCTACTCGTGTCTGCCCGCTTGAGGCGATAAGAGTCTGTCGGCTCTGTAGGAGAGACTACTTGACTTGTAAACGCCCGCTCTCTTATGGTATGATCTGATCAACGCTTCGCTTGCGACGTCCGCTCCCGTTGTTGAAACAACCATGTCATTGCTTCACTTGGACAGTTCCGCTCTTGTCGGTATTTCGCTTTCACCCAATGGGTCACCACCGGAGGAAAAGAATGAAGAGAGGTGCTATTGGCGTTAAGAGATAGGAGAAACTTGGGATGAAATGTTCGATATTCGGAGTGGAGGAACTCGTTTCGGAGCCGGCCATCCCGCCGTTCGAACTACTACTCGAGACGACAAATCGCAAACAGTACATTTTGTTTTTCTACACGGATCCTCTTTTTCAAGTGCATCCCACTTGCCGGTTAACCATCCCGCACACACAATAGTGCCCACTGCTGTGATCTTGAACTTCCATTACCTACTTGCCCCATTGGCATAGTGCATCGCACACACAATACCACAAGGGGAGGAATGTGTTTATTTTACGCCGGTCTGCATAAGTATCCGTCACCTGTTGCAATCCCGTCGTCCGAACTAAATCGATTGAACTGCGGGAGTTGCAAGGCAGTCACGACCAGACGAGACGCTCCTTCCTTCCTGATCAGATACAAACACCACCGCCAGTGTGCTGCTCAATAGGACGACTCGACCGGTCTTCCACTTGAGACGAAACTGACACATTGCACGTCGTCCATCTGATGTCCTATTATGGAGGCATGACAATAGATCCCCCTCGCCTCCTCGTCCAGTCATGCACCAGGCCAACTGCCTTACTATTTAAATCTCCCCTCGCAACAACTTCTTGCCATCAAATCTTGGGCTTTTTCCAGAAATCTGTCCCCGAACAACACCGAAAAACAACGACAACCATCAACCCTGAGCCCGGGTCCCGCCTCTACAACGATCGTAGGGAAACCTTTCCATCAATCTGACAACAACACCCACAGGCAGTTTTACTCGTCTACATCTGCCCGATATCAAGTCATTCTCACCTTCCACCTCAGCATCAGATTTTGCTCAGTCCCCGTCTCGTCATCATCGGCTCCTTGACCCAGCCAAGATGGCGTCAACACACCTGAACTCGAACATTCCTGCATTCCCTCGCCTTCACGCGATTCCTGCTCTGAGCAGCGAGGAGGATTTCGAGGTTTGGCATAATGCACTCCTCCTTCAACTGAGCTACTTTGATGTCCACGATATCATCACTGGCGACGAGCAGGCTCCTGCCAAGACCGCCCCACAAGAAGTCCAGAAATGCTTCAAGAGGAAGCAAGTCCTGGCGTACACCATGCTCTCAAATAGCATCCAGCCCATCATCACCAAGCTGCAAGCCCTCGGATACAACGAAGGAAACCATGCCCTGGACCCGCGGAGCCTTTACAAGGCGGTAATCAAGTGGGACAGTGAAATCTCCGCCGAGCACAAATTTCGACTTGTTAAGGAGCTCACCGACATTGATCATTCCCAGTTTCCCAATCTCCACGCATTCCTGGGCAGGGCCCTATGGCTCCGCCGACGCCTCAACCGTGCCCTCTTTGACGTTTCAGACGAGCTCATGGACATGTTGCTGCTGAAAGGCATCAGTTCCTACGACGATGCCTTGACAAAGATGATTCTTCACAGCAAAACCACAGGATCTGCAGTCGAGGATATTGCTTCGCTAATCGCCAAGAAAGCAACAGAGCAGGAGGCTATAAGCGTTACTTCCAAGACCATCACCTGCCCGAAAGCTACCCTGAATAAGGGTACCCAGGTCACCTGCACGAAGGCCTCCCAGGAAAATAGTACCCAGACCGAGGCGATCCCGAACCAGACCTACAAACAGACCTCCCACAACGACGCTCCTCGTCCAGATGCCCTAAACGCCAGGGTCCCGTCCGCAGTCGATCACAACTCGAAGAACATCAAGCCCTCTAACTTGACCACCACACCGAATGGCGTTCTACAGGGCACTACCAAGGTCGGCAGGGACAGTCAGGATATGACCATCGACGAAACCCACAACAGTGTCAACGCACCCACCAATGCTGATGCCACAAACGGCACGCCCCAGAGCGAGGTTAATTTCGGCAGAAAGAGTCCTAATACCAACCTTACCACACCGTCGCCTACACCCAACGGTGCCTGGCAAGGCGAGAACGTGGTTGCCAACCTAACTGCTGCCCACAATACCAACTCAGGTGTCACCAAGCCCTCAAACCCCCAGACTTCTGGTCCTGTTACCAACACCGGCCGTCAAACCGACGGCAATTCTCTGCAGCGTGATGGCTTCGGTCTTACCAGTAACGGCAGTTCTCAAAATGGCCCCCGTTCCTTGCATCCCTCTAACGCTGTCCCGGGCCGCATCCTCAACCGCCAAAAGCAAGTTCACGATTGGCTCTTGGGTAACTCATGGACCAACGCCGAAAACCCTCCTGTTCAAAGCGACCAGAAGAGCCCGCCACAACGTGCCGCCTCTGTGCAGCAGCAGCAGCAGCCTCCTCAGTCCGACCATGATCCGTTTGGCCCGGAATCTTTTGCTTCTTATTTGTACGCCAGGGACATTGCGAATGCTTGGACCAAGGATGGGAAACTCAGAGCGAAGATTAAGAAGGGTCAGTTTGGCCCCGAGGACCCGCGCCATTGGTAAACAGAAAGGATCAGTATGAGCTTGTGGGCCGACACAGGGTATGATGGACAGTCAATATTGCAGGTTTTATGGCTTTCATGATGTGTGTGCTTGGAACTCGGTTACTTGGTCAAGAAACCCCTCATAATGGGGGAGAAGTTGTTGGCGGAAAGGAATGAAGGAGTGGATCTGGGAAAAGGGGTCGATATGCCCGCTTGATGTTCCGTTTCAAAAGCCGTTCTCCGATCCTGTTGCAGTGGTATCTATGCTCGGGAATGGCAAACATAACAGAAAGGCATATATGGTTGTCAGGTGACAGATATGGCATCTGCGGTCAGTTGATCATTCAACATGAGGGGATTTTAAGTGCTTGGTAGATGTGATACATATTTCCAGCATCTAGTCTTACAAAAGAAAGCATTGCCATTTCTGCTACAAATCCAGCTGTGTACCAAGAATGTTTGTAGCCCATCTGAAAACTGTGTTGCCTCGTTGTATTGGCCCAATGCGTACCGGACTCATAATGTGACTGAGATTGCCCATTCGCTTTATTGTTGGACTCATACAGTCTTCGATGATGATGATTCTGGTATCTCAGTTTAGTCTTATCTACTTCTAACGCTTGCTGAACACGAAAATAAGGGGGGGAAAACCACCGAGGCCTCTTTCTTTACGCAGCCTCTTCTTCCCACTGCCGGATAAATTCCACTTGATTCAGTTCCGTTGTCAGTTGCACCCCCCACTGCCAACCAACAAAAACCATCGCCTTCACCACCTCAAATCTCAATAACAATCCTCCCCACCCCCCTACTAACACAAGCCAGCATCGCCTCCTCTTTTTCTTCAGCCGTCAACGCCGTGCCCCTATGGTCCACCCTTCCCCCCTTAAGATTGACCTTACAAGTCCCGCAATTCCCCACGCAACAACTGCCCTCCACCTCCTCATCGCCAAACTCTCTCTGCAAAACCTCCAACAGCGTCTCCCCCCTCCCACCTGAAGAACCATCTTATCGTTCCTATTCGCAACCACCGCCTCAAACGGATCACCACCGACATCCGCCTCAAACGCCTCAAAGTGGACTTCCCCCTCCGGCACACCATACTGTTTTACTAGTTGCGCAGCCTCCAGCATGAGACTCTTGGGTCCACAAAAGTAAATCATTGTATTCCACGGGATTTTTTTCACAATGTCTTCGATATTGAGGCGTTCGCCTTGTGTCTTGTCGTAGATCTTTACAGTTCCCGGGTTAAGTTGGGACAGACGGTCGCGAAAGGGGATGTCTTTGTTAGATCGCACGGCGTAGTGCAGTTCGCATGAGACGTGGATGGACTGAAGCTGTTCGAGGGAGGTCAAGAAGGCCGTGAGACCTACCCCGCCGGCAACGTAGATGTGGTGAGAGATGCCGCCTGCGCTGTTGTTGTTGTTGTTGTTGCCCGATAGCGCGTTGGTGAAGGTTGTGGATACTTGGAGGATGTGGCCCTCGAAGACGTGGGAGTGGAAGTAGGCGGAGCCGCCGCGGGAGTGAGGCTCGAGGGCGATGCCGAGCTGGAAGCGGTTGATGGTTGAGCAAGAAGAGGGGCCGACGATGGAGTAAGCCCTGACGAGGCCGTTGTCGAGTTTGACGCGGGCGTGCGCGCCTGGTTTGAGGAGGATGGATTTTTCGTCGCCTGGAGGAGGGATGATGGGGTCGATGGCTTCGAGGATGAAAGAGAGGATGCGGGAGGTTTCTTGTCGTCGCTCGACGACGCGGAAGTCGCGCCATCGAGCGAGCTTTTCGGCTCGCTTCTTCTTGGCTGCCGAGCGGGCCACGCGGGCTTTGAATGCGTCGCGGCTTTCTGCGCCGAGTTCTTCGATGCTGGCTAGTTCAGCGTTCATGGCTTCGTCGTCCTGGTTGCGGTGGAGGTACTCTTGGATTTGCTCAATGGTCCATTGCGGGTGCGGACGAGAGACAAGACGGATCTCGTCGCCGGCTTGGACGAAACCAGGGCGAAGCACGCGGTAGTACCAGCCTGTTCGCGAATGCTTCCAGGTTAAGGGGGCGAACTTCTTAAGTTGGAAACGGTGGTTGAGTTTGAAGCAGGGCTGGCGGGGGAGAGAGACTTGAAGGAGGAGGCAAGATTCCGGGGTGGAGGTTAGGGCGGATGGGCTGCCGACGATCATGGTGTCGCCGATGCAGACGTTGCGCTCGTTCATGTGGGCTGTAACGAGATTTTCGCCGAAGCCACCGGGGACAAAGGCCGCAGCGGCGGAGGGGTGCTCGGTGGCCCAGGTTGGGTAGTGGGAGGAGCAGTCTGTGTCGATGATCAGTATGGTAGGAGTTTTAGTGGGAGAGCTCGAGGCTTCACTTGCAGCCGTGAACGGCCTTGTCAACGCCGCCGTGGAAGGTCGGGTCACTCTCATCGCCTTCCAAACCGGTGCGGCCGACGTATACGGGCCCATTGATGATGGTTTTGTCGATTCCGCTCATGACCTCAAGACCCCTCATTTTCTTCATCTTGCTCGCACGCACCTCGAGGATGGTGTCGCGCTCGAAGGGGGCGTAGAGGTCGATTTTGGACTGTGGTTCCGCCATGGCGCAAAATGCTACCTCGTCGGTGTGGTCGTATGTTGATGAGAGGAAAAGATTGGGATGTCCAAATTTTCGAGAGAAAAAAAAATAATTGCCGGCTTAAGCAGATCGGTGGGTGAGCCAGTGAGGAGGTGAAGCAAACTATCGTTCGGCAGTTGTTTCCGACAAGCCAAGGTTTTGATTTTCCGCAATCGCCGCGCCCCTCTAGTGAAGGGGCGGCAATTCACCACACGATAACCCGATCACATCGGAATTTCAAAAGTGAAGAGTGGTGATGACTCCTCCCCGTCACTCACATTGTTGCAAGGTTCGTCAATGTTACGATAAGCCCGCACTAGGCTGCCGGGTCGTTTGTGAAGCTGTCTCCAATACAATCCCCAATTGAGACACTACGCGTGAGCTGATTGGTCAATTTCCACCGTTGGAGAAGATTACTAAGATGAGGGATTCATTCATGTGAATGGACCGTTCCATCGAACCAGGTGAGGAACATAAGCCGATAAACTCAAAATGGTCAGATCTGACCAGTTTTTCTGCTACGTAGGCTCGGGGTGCGTTAATTTCATGGCACGTTGACGTTAGATGATGATGGGTTCAGTCACACTCCTTAGAGATGTTAGGGTAGTTGAGCTTTTCTGTTTTACTCAAGTCATCTAGATAGTTGCAAGTCTGTACCTCTCTTCTGGCTAGCCTTGGAGAAGCACTTAGATACCTAAGAATAAGATTCTACGGTCGTGGAACTTGCAATTTGTGATTCATATATATATATATATATATATCAAGGCTGGCAGCTTCAAACGGGAATGAGGGCGTTTGACAAAAGCAGGATAGCCGCTGCGGGAAAAGCTCGGGCTTGAGCGTGATGCATGGAATTGGGGGTGAGCGGGTTAAGCTACCTCTTTCGAGCCTCAGCAGAGCTTCATAATGTGGTTTCGGTCCTGCAAGAGCTCAACGAAGACAACCCAGAGCGGGCTCAGCAACAGACTGAGGCTAGTTGTGTACTGGCAGAGAACATCAGAGCCGGTGTGCCTGGAGGCAGTATTGTAGAGGCCAAAACAGACTCGAATATCGACGTCTTTCGGATCATCCGTGGCATACGACACCGCAACCAGCTCTCAAGCCAAAATCCAGGTGTGATACATGTTGGGATCCATGGGTTAGACAGGCTCTTGATCAACTTGTTTGACTATGCTGAATGTTGAGTCCAGCAGCGAAAAGGGCAGAGAACTGGGGATTTTGGACACGCCCATAGGACGTCTCGTGGCCAGAGCTCGAGAAGGTTGATCAAATCCCAGCATTATGGCTTGCGTGTCGTGGTCGTGGTTGTTGTTGACGCTGCCACGCGAGGCTTTGGTCAGTGGCCTGTCATATCTTTGTGAGCCTACAAGTATTCAGTTTCTGCCCAACTTCAAAACGTGATGTTTGGCCTAGTGCCAACTATCTTTGCTGAGTGTTTGCGTGGCCATCTGACACCGCTAGATCTGACCTTGGATAATCAAATGCTTATACTTCCCGGCTGTTGAACGGCACGAGCTTAGTCTGTCTTACTGTCTCGTTCCCATCTGACTGTCACGGTCGCAAAGGTGGCCACAGGATCCGTAACTGCCCACTAATGCCAACACGAAGGTCATCTAACCTCCACCACGCGAAACAAGTGGCGATCTAGGTCCCATTCATCTGTAAGATTTTGGGCTTAGTGCGCTGATGACGGGGATGATCATCAAGATGATTCGAATGGCCTGGGACTTTCAGAGGAGAGGAAGATGGACTATATTTGGTTTAGGTTAGCTGTAAGATGGCAAGATTCCAGGAGTAGGGCAGAGATAAGGTAGTAGATCCCGAGATTGCGAGGTGATAGAGGCATCCACCGTATTCCTCCATATGCATCCAACTCCGTTTGGATGCGGCTCAGGTTGTTGTTGATGGCGTTGCTGATTTCCACTTGTTGCGTTTGTTCATCGCAGAGCCGCAATTGCTCTCACAACAGGGATCAAGGGTGACGAAATGAGCAGTGTCCGGCCCGAACAAGTCAAGTGTCGTTGTACTTATGGCCGAGAGATTTGATCAAGTGCGACTGGAGTTGCAATTCGTGGTACCACCTGACGCCAGCGTGTGTTCCCCAGTCACCACCGTTGCAGGGGCTCGAGGCGGTCCCTTCTTGGGCTGGCTTGGGGTAACATGAAGTAATTAAAGCGGCTCTGTCGTGATGTGGTACGATAAATGGCCGGTTCTTTCCCAAGGTCGAGGTAGTGTACGTAAGTAGTGTAAGTGGGAAATTGAAGGGAGTGAGGCACAATGGATGTGAAGAAAGAAAGAACGAGGAGATTGGATTGCTGTACTGTACCTAATTGAAAGGGAGGTGCGGGGTACGGGGTTCCACTTGGCAAGAAAGGATAGGTAAAGCTGCCCCTGAGGCTCAAGATAAGGAGTACCCGACGCACTGTTGCAAAAAACCAACTGTTGCGCCCATTTTAGGCGGACACTTGGTGTACTCGCTAGCAGCCCCACTTTTTGCTGCTTTTTATTAACACCCATGCGATACCGTTACGTACCTGCACACAAACGGTCACCTTACAAGGTCCGAGTCAACAACGACGGGGAGACTCCGTCCCCTGGAACTGACCCGATCTAAGGAACCCAGCAACCCGTGCTCCCTTGTACTCACTCAGTGTTTTTCCATCTTTCCTCTTTGGTTGCCGCAATCACTAGGAGGTATTTTCAGCCCTGCTCAGCAGAGCCGCTACCTAGACCATGGAAACACCATGTAAACCATCTGTGATGTTGTCCTGAGGCCATAGTGCCTTTGGACAGTCCGGCAGCTGTCAACAACCTTCGCAACCATGGTCTTGTCATCAGTCTCGTCAGAATCATCAGACAGTGAGTCCCCATTCCACCTCGCGCACATAGGTTACCAGGATACATGCCAACTGACATGTAGGATCCTCAAAGGGAAATGCCAGGTAGTAGCCATCGTTGAAAAATTGATGTCGTGTGGTCAACAAACGGCCTGGGAGCGGAGTCGGGGTCCCGAGAGCTCCTTCCAAGGGGACGCTTCAAAATGTAAAACCAGCCGACAAACCTCGCGGCAGGTGTCAGGTCCCATCACCCTCACTCCTCGCTCGCTTCCACTTGCTTGACATTCCATGTTTGCTGGGAAAAGTCAGTTACCGCCGAGACAGCTGAGGTATAAGTGCTCTTTGGCTTGCTTCTTGACGAACTGCTCGTCTTCCGTGCAGCGCCGCCACTGGACTCTCTGGCCATATCCCTTTCTCTCAGACTTAAATTCATGCCCATTCGTTCTCAGCTTGGTTTACTTTCCTTTATCCGAAGTCCCAAATTTTTCTGGAATACCTACTCATTGCATACGCCCGTTGGGGACTTCAAGGTCTCGCCAGCACATTGTTGAGCACATGCATTGCAACATCATGTCACTGGTTAAGCTGCCGTACGAGATGGTCAGCTATGTGCTGGACGAGCTCGATCTAGACGATGTTTGGCAACTGAGTCTCACCTGCAGGCATCTGAGGTCTCTAGTGACAGAATCGAACATAGCAAAACGACTGCTTGAGGTTCGTCTCGCCAACTGGTTACCCTATCTGTTCGTCTGTGGACTGAGCTGACTTTCATACCTACGGCACAGAGCAAAGCACCGGCAGCGACAGAGACTCAAAACGCCCGCGTTACCAAAAACTATGCCCACGAACTTCGACGCTTGCTGAAGCGCCGCCAGTCCATCTCTTCGGTCACCCCCTACTTGGCTGCTGTCGTTGGCTTCGGCGAGGACTGGATATACCGAAATGGCGTGCTCTGTTATATCCGACAGGGCCAACTTCGAATATTGAACCTCCATGGATCTGCAGCCGACGAAGTCGTTGTCAACATTCGACTCCTTCTTGATGAAGCAATCCCCGACTCTCGCAAGATACGCAATTATCGCCTTCGGCCTCTCAACGTTTCGCATAACATTGTCTCCTGTTTATACTACCATAAGACCCCCCATGCAAATGGAAATAATTCTGCTTCGTTCCCTGTGGGTTCGCTCGTTGTCTTCAGTGCTCAGGCCCACAAAATCCTCACTGTGGAACATCTAGTGGATCTCGAACCTAACAGGGTCGTGGTACGAAACAATGACGAGGCCCTATTTCTCATCAGAAGACCTCGCTTACATGGAGGACGAGTAGTATTGTGGAAGGCTTACAACATTCCAGCCAACAGATGGCACCGCCATACTCATTTTCGCTGGTATCCCTTCAACTTTCAGCCATTTGAGATAGGCATCACCCAGTGCTTTGAAATATTCAACGATCACATTTACTCGCTTTCGAATTACAGCGAGCTCGAAGAGGAGGAAGCCGATTGGGTTTCGCCTTATCATTGCCTAAGAATTCCTTTGTCTTTCAATGGTATGTCCAAACTCAAACCCGACGGGCTGTTGCGGAGAAATCATTTGGACGGGCCAATGGACCACAGGTGGACGTTTATGAAAATGTTCAAAGATGAAGCAACGGGTGAGATCAAGGTCGTGGAGTCGCGAAAAGAATGGATCAAAGGGAGCTCATCCACGACACGTACTTACTATACTACTACGATCAAATGGCCTAGCGAGAATGACAGTCCCTCAATATCCGACTCCAAGGAAGGTGGCCTCGATGGAAGCAATACCAATGGAATCGACATCAGTGGAAACAGCTCAAGCCCAGGTCACCAGGGTAGTTCAGGTAATGACCCTGACCAAGGTAACGCTGAAGTTCACCCAGACAACAGCAGCCCAGAACCTGGCGACTCGGACTCGAATCATCAACGAGATGACAGGCCACCTAGAATCCTACCTCCCCGGGACCCTCGAGATGTCCATCCTGGAGATGATAGCTCTAAGGGACCGGTGTTTCTTCGCAACAAATGCCCGATTCTGTCATATCATCCGTCTTGTCAAACGTTTCTTGACCTTGTGGACGACCCATCACCCTCGAATCCGGGCAAGCAGCGGATGCGCGTCCGTGGGGGTACGCGACATCTCCGAAGGCCGGAAGAAATTGACGATTGGAGCCGCTGTTCAAAGGTGAAAAACTCATCATCAGTTGCGGAGACACACTTCGAGGAGGTGTACAAAATGTACAAACACGAAGAACCCATTTCTTGGCCACCCAATCAAGACCCCGAATCACCCAACCCAGCTTTAGCCCAACTCTACGAAATCCTCAGCACGCCGAACTACGCGGGCGAAGTCACTGGCGATTGGGACGAGCGGTCGTTTGTGTACGCTACGAGTGCGTCTGGCGGCAGTAAGCAAAAGGCTCTTGTATTCATCTCCTTTGACCCGTCCATTTCACTCGCGGGGACTTTGCCATACCCAGGTCCCATGGTGTTTGGTCGACCTCAATCACTCGATACAACCAGTTCGAAAGCTACTGCGAGTGACAACTCTACCGCTCATCAGAACCATGGCGATGGAGTAAGAAAGGGCAGGCAGTTCGGAAGGGCAAGGCAAACTCCAAGGGGGAGGCAGACGGCAAAGAAGAGGCAGACGGAAAGGAACGCACCGACGGAGGCAACACAGGTGCATGGCACCAAGACTGATGCTTCCTGGTGCACCATTGAACCAGCACAGTATCAAACGATCCGAAAGGGATTTCATTTCTGCGTCTGAGACAGACAGACGGGCACAGGTTAGGGCCACACATGAAGACCAGGCTGTAATGCATCGATGGTATGGTATGGTTTGACAGAAAACCATATACTCAGTGTGTATCAACAAATAGCAGTTTTTGCTATCGCTAGCGAACAAAATCAATAGCGACTCATATCACAAAAGCCGCAGATCCATTGCTCTAGGAAGTTTTGTGCGTCCATCACAGATGGTGATTCAGGTCGGCTCACTCATCATCGATACTTACAACACAGCAGTCAGACTTAGTGTGTTGATATCCCCCGGTTGTTCATGAAGAAATATGTCCGATACTTTTCGGGGGGTCTCTTCTAAGCAAGGCTGCCGGGGTTCTCTACATAAACTCGTCACCGCACGTGGTGGCTTGAAAATGATACTGCCAAACCTGACTTCAGGTACATCAATGCATCTTGGGATACACAACAGGTATCCCGGTCTTCTGGCAGTGAACCAACATTGAGGTGAGTGGTCCCCGATAACAGAGCCTCATCACGTTCACACCCACTTCTCGGGTGATCATCTGCGGGTTCTTCTGAATTTAGCTACCTACTTCTTACAGCTGACATGAGGCATTGGAACACCGTGGAATATGCATGGCGATCCTAGATTACATATTAAGGCGAAGCCAATTGTTCATTTGTCTATTCAATCTCAGCGAATTAAAGACATTCCGACAGTTGATGCATTGATTTACATGTGACGTTTTACCCAAGGCATATATACACCTCCATCCACACCCAAGTTCAATCATTACGCGCGGATTGAACGGCTGGAACAACGTTCCCGCAACTTCGAGATCGTAGCCTGGTCTTGGGAAATTGTTATCATGCGATTTGGGTCCAGATCGCTCCAGATCGCCCCAGATCGCCATCTTTTGACACATCAACAATGGAAATCTGCCTTGTGATGATAGAAGGACAACAAATCGCAACACCGAACTAGATCTAGATATATATCTCACTTCGAGATCTGCATTGGAATATCCGCTTAAGAACGAAGCTAGACAGCCAAAGTATGACTTACATGACCAACAAAACAAAGAACCATTGGGTTTCCAGTGTGGCTTCAGTTGATATTTCGTCATACCGCCCTCAACAAAATATCAACACTTTGAGAATACCTACCCGAATCTAGCTCCAGCAGCTATCATCGCCAACAAAACCCCAAACCGACGTTTACCGTTCGATGTCGTACAAGGCTCCGGCGGGGTATTAAATAATACAATGTACCGTTCGCTCCAATACCCTCCCTTCGATCGTCAGGGGTTAAACGCTTTCTATTGGCTCTCTCCCCCCCCCGTATTCTTGTTGGCTGTTGAGGCTCATTCATCAGTTGAGTTAGGAGATGATGGATTATTTTTACGTTATCACGTCGTGTACACTACAGACAGACAGGGGTGGACAGAGGCTCTGAGAGCCTCAAATGTGCAATCTGCATAAACGAATGCGAAAATGCGATAATTGAAATGCAGAAAGGGACTGAAATGAAATGCGGCGTGGGAGGGGATTGCCTAGTTGGGGAAAGAGACCGAGAAGACAGGAAGAAAGTATGTGAGAGAGAGAGGGAGATAGTATCTGACGCTGCGATTATTTGCAAGGTGGGGAGAACTCAGCTGAGAGAAGAATGTTGGGCTTCGTTGGGAGTCTAAAATTGTCCATTGAGTAGGGAATTGGAACCTGGAAGATTTTGTTTGCAGAACTGAACTGGAGAAGCGGGTGGTGAGATTGTGAGGATAATCGTGTTGTTGACAAAAAGCGAGGGGGAAAAAAAAAAGAGGCAGGGTTGCGATTCTCGAGCTCCATGCATTCAGTAAGCGCTAGAGGACGAGAAGAGGTGGTTCAGCTTGATGATGTGAGAAAAGACGGTGACTCTCATGCCAACTTAGTAGGACCGGGCTTTTTGTGAGCCGAATTGATGGGATTTATGAAGATTTTAGAGGTACAGTTGCCTATCTCTCTACCTACTAGACAGGTGAGAAGAGCAAGCGAGGCATTGCGAGGTACGCTAGACCTTTTTTTTTTTTTTTTTTTTTTTTTGTCTATCCGTCCATTGCATCATTGACTGGGGGGTATTGTTGCTGTAGGTCAGTGAGAAGCACTTATTGTGGACATTGAAGCATCTGGTGAATATCAACTTTTGATATTTCGGTAGCATTAGGTGAAGTTGAAGTCTCCAGGGAAGAAAACAAAGTGGGTGAAGATGGCAAGCGAACACATTCGAAGTGGCTCGGCCACTCACCACACCGCTCGTCTTCCGTAATCCAGCGATGACGCATTCAGGTGAGTACTCGGTGGCCCCTTTGGGCCTTTTGTATGCCATTAGACTCTTCGAACCCCTCCCCGTCCATTAACGGGTTTACCACCTCCTCCAGGCCCCTTCATGTCCCTTGTTGGGGCTTTCGTAGCATTACGCTGTCCCTGGCCACCAGGCACCTGCCTCTTCACATCCTTGGTTTCAGCAGCTTTGCTAACCTCAACCTCCTCATGACGAGGCAGCTCCCCCTTCGCCATATACCCTTCCAGCTTCCACAACTTTATCTGCAGCTCCGTCGTTGCCTCCCTCCCTACCGCATACAACTGTGCCTGCCTCCAAAATCCCGTCTCCTCATCCATCAACCTCTTCAACTCCTCCTCCCCAAGTAGCACCGTAGCATCATAAACTGGTAGTTTAGTACTATACCGCTCTCCCTTGATCTCCAAAGTTGACACCCTCATCGGGGGCTTCGTAACTTTTCCGTTTGTCGTTCCCGGCCTTCCACCGACATAAACCAACGCACCTCTCAATTTCCTCTCCCTCGCCTCTTCATAGCCCCCCCTCAACGGGGTCAAATACTTCCTCCTCAAACTCCCCGTCACCTTGCCCGTCAGATACAACAACTCATCCACGATTCTCCGTCGCATCATCTTGAGTACCAACGCATCCATATCCTCTCTCCAAACCGCCTTGTTCAACACCTCCGTCAGCCCCGTCTTATTCGTCGCGTTCCGCCTCAACAGCTTCCGATTCCTCCCAAAATACGGACTGCCCTTTATCGTAAACTCGTGCAACAGCGTCTGATTACTTAGTGTATACCCTGACGGTCCCAACGCCTGGTCTTTTTGCTTTGCCGGATCAGCAGCAGCGCCGTGCGCCGAAAGGTCAGCAGGCACAAACCACGGCTCGTCTGTCTCGGGGTGGCGGAGGAGATTGAATTTCTGGAGAAAAGGTTTGGGAAGTAAGACGTCGGTGGCGGTGCAGGCGCGGAGAGGTGCGGCGAGAGCCAAGGCGAAGGGGTTGGATTCGAGAAGTTGTGAAAATTTGGAGACGCGTTGACCTGGTGGACGGGAGGTGGGTTTGCGCTCTTTCCATCGGTTGCGAGAGGAGTGGTAGGTTGGGTCCATGATGGGACTGAGGGGGAGGGTGAGGCCGGTTTTGGTGTGGACGGATTTAGTGGTGGTGTCGATTTGATAGGGGCGGGAGGAGTAGAAGTCGTCAGGGTCGAGGTCGAAGTCTTCAGAGTATTCGTCTTTTGGTGAGGAGGATGGTGATCGTGATGAGTTATTGGAATCGTTATGTGATGGTGATGAGCGGAGGAGGGAGGTTTGATGGAGTGAGCGCCGGGTTATGGAGGGCCCTGTGGCGCAACATTTTTGTATTGTTGACTTCATTCTTGACCGTCGCATTCTCTTTTACGCCGTGAAGAGACAGAACTGGGTGAAGTATAAGCGGGAATCGCGGATAATCTTCTGATCAAAAAGTAATGGAGTTCAAGATGGACTTCGATGAAAGTCCGTGCTCTAGGTCTGCTGTTAGTGCACCCCTGCAAGTGAGCTCTAAGGAGCTAGGACGCCCCACATTCGCTGCAAGGGGAGTTCCAGTTCGTCACTTCCCTTGCCTGCCTGGAGCTCTGAACATCGAACCCAGACTGTTATCGCAAGCCGTTGAAGGTCTCGTCTCTTTACCCAGCCTGGCAATATTTCCAAAACAACGACAGATAATTCGCGTTTTAGTGTATCCAGATCCGAAAGATCATGAACTCTCCACGAGCGGCAATGCGCATTCTGCGACGGGTTGGCGCGCCCGCGACACGCCGATGCTTCTCCCAGTTCACTGGCTCCGGTTCGGGGGCACCTTTGCGGCCCATGGGCAACATCCCCATGCCATACATTACAGAGGTCACAGTACGCTTTGAACTCCACCGTTGACTTGTTGCCATGTGGACTTTGGCTAACTCTACAGGCTGGAGGATGGCGAACATGTATGTCTTGTACTAGACCCTTCCGATCTCGAGCAGGGCGCTGACCGAATCGCAACGAAGCCGACATCTTCTCGAAACTACTACAAGTACGTCCAGGCCTCACCCTTACACACGTACTATGCGACCATGTCTGACCAGCCTAGGAACGTATAGTATGCCTTAATGGCGCGATCGACGACACCACCTCAGCCGCGATAGTTGCCCAGCTCCTCTGGCTGGAATCCGATAACCCCGATAAGCCCATCACCATGTACATCAACTCTCCTGGCGGCGAAGTGAGCTCCGGTCTAGCCATCTACGATACTATGACATACATCAAGTCGCCAGTCTCAACCGTCTGCGTTGGCGCCGCCGCCTCCATGGCCGCCGTCCTCCTCATCGGCGGCGAGCCCGGGAAGCGGTACGTGCTGCCTCACAGCACGGTCATGGTGCACCAACCGCTTGGCGGCACACGCGGCCAGGCATCCGATATCCTCATCTATGCGAACCAGATCCAGAGGATAAGAGAGCAGATCAACAAGATTGTGCAGTCGCACGTCAACAAGGCGTTTGGCTACGAGAAATACGACCTCGCGGCCATCAGCGATATGATGGAGAGAGACAAGTACCTGACGGCGGAGGAGGCGGTGGAATTGGGCGTTGTTGACCAAATTCTCGACAGGAGGGTGAAGGATGAGGCGGAGAAGAAGGCCAGGGATGGTGAGACGCCGGCGCCGCAGCCGTGAGCTCGAGTTCCATATTGTGAGATTCATGGCGGACGCTACATATGTGATGCGCCTTGCCTATCAGAGCAGCACTGAACGAGATTGGCAACGGTCCGGATGTCATATCAGTGCCTACGGTCGAATGCCGGCCGAAGAATGATGGAGCGAAATGGTGCATGTGCAGAGAGAGGCATGGCATTTCCGGGGGGTATTAGCCCAATCTTCCAGTCAGTGCCGATGACGGAAGCTTGACATTTAAGAATGTGGGGCCTGAGCCTCATAGCGCATGTGGTGGAACCTGTCCGAGTATGAAGTGAACGGTAAGCCAGATCCAACATGATGGCTTTCTTGAAGCCATTGAAGCCATTGCAGGTTGATACTGTCATGATCATAGAGACTCAATACCCGAATTCTCTTCCAATGTTTACTTTTCCTCATTTCTGTGGTTCATCGCAAGCTATTTCCACTTGTCGAGACACGTCACGGCAACTCACTGAAGTGTTCAATGACAGAAGCGATCGACCAATCACAAAGCTTGTATATCTCACCTCCCCCTGGTCGACATGGGGAGCTTGGAAGCTTTTTGCGGGGTGGACTTGGGACTTGGCGGCAAGCCCTGTGAGCGTGGCCAGTGACTCGGATCCGCCTGGACGCCGACTTCGCCCAGGCCGCCCGGAAAAAGAATGAGTCGCCTCTGCGGCGGCTGTCCCAAATCTTCCTCTTGACCCTCTTTTTGTTTGTGATTCTCTCCCCCCTTTGCACCCTTTCCTTCTGCCAGCGATTTCTTGCACGGCAGCTCTCCCCTCCGCACATCATGCTCGCTCCCTCCCTTCTGCGGGCTCAGGCCCCCAGAGCTCTGGCTTCTGCCCGTCTCTCCCTGTAAGTTTTGAGCCCAGTGACAGGCAACCTTGATGTCCAAGCGCAAGTGAAGCTATTCAGGAAGCGAAACTGACCAAGATCTTTCCTCCCCCCTCCAGCCGCTCCCTTTCCACCACTCCCCGCCGCTACAATGCCCAGGAGAAGCAGCTCAACAAGGTGTCGGCCAACATCACCCAGCCCAAGTCTCAGGGTGCTTCCCAGGCCATGCTCTACGCCACCGGCCTCAACGAGGACGACATGAACAAGGCCCAGGTCGGTATCTCATCTGTCTGGTATGAGGGTAACCCTTGCAACATGCACCTTCTCGACCTCTCCGGCCTCGTCAAGGAGTCCGTTGCCAAGGCTGGCCTCGTCCCTATGCGCTTCAACACCATCGGTGTCTCGGACGGTATCTCCATGGGTACCACCGGTATGCGCTACAGCTTGCAGTCCCGTGAGATTATTGCCGACTCCATCGAGACCGTCATGAACGGCCAGTGGTACGATGCCAACATCTCCCTCCCCGGTTGCGACAAGAACATGCCCGGTGTCCTCATCGCCATGGGCCGTGTCAACCGCCCCTCCATCATGGTCTACGGTGGTACCATCAAGCCCGGCTGCAACATGAAGGGCGAGAACATCGATATCGTTTCCGCCTTCCAGGCATACGGCCAGTACATCTCCGGTGAGATTGACGAGAAGCAGCGCTTCGATATCATCCGCAACGCCTGCCCTGGTGGTGGCGCCTGCGGTGGTATGTACACTGCCAACACCATGGCCACCGCCATCGAGACCCTCGGCATGACCCTTCCCGGTTCCTCCTCCTACCCCGCCGAGTCTCCCGAGAAGAAGAACGAGTGCTTGAGCGTCGGTGAGGCCATTAAGAACCTCCTCCGCGAAGATATCCGCCCTACCGATATCCTTACTCGCCAGGCCTTCGAAAACGCCATGATCGTCGTCAACATTCTTGGCGGTTCCACTAACGCCGTCCTCCACTTGATCGCCATCGCTGACTCCGTTGGCATCAAGCTCACCATCGATGACTTCCAGGCCGTTTCCGACCGCACTCCCTTCCTTGCCGACCTTAAGCCTTCCGGCAAGTGGGTTATGGAGGACCTCTGCAAGATTGGCGGCACCCCCGCCCTTCTCAAGTTCCTCCTCAAGGAGGGCATCATCGACGGCTCCGGCATCACCTCGACCGGTAAGACCATGAAGGAGAACGTCGAGAAGTTCCCCGGTTTCCCCACCGACCAGACCATCATCCGCCCTCTGTCGAACCCCATCAAGGAAACCGGACACATCCAGATCCTCCGCGGCTCTCTCGCCCCCGGCGGTTCCGTCGGCAAGATCACTGGCAAGGAGGGTCTCCGCTTCGAGGGTAAGGCCCGCTGCTTCGACTACGAGGACGGCTTCATTGAGGCTCTCGAGCGCGGCGAGATCAAGAAGGGCGAGAAGACCGTCGTCGTCATCCGCTACGAGGGTCCCAAGGGCGGCCCTGGCATGCCCGAAATGCTCAAGCCTTCGTCCGCCATTATGGGCTACGGTCTCGGTAAGGATGTTGCCCTCATCACCGACGGCCGCTTCTCCGGCGGTTCTCACGGCTTCCTCATCGGCCACATTGTGCCTGAGGCTATGGAGGGTGGCCCCATTGGTCTCGTCCGCGATGGCGACACCATCGTCATCGACGCCGAGAAGAAGGTTCTTGACCTTGAGGTCCCTGAAGAGGAGCTCGCCAAGCGCCGCAAGGAGTGGAAGGCTCCTGAGCCCAAGGCCAAGCGTGGTACTCTCAGGAAGTACGCCCAGCTCGTCAAGGATGCTAGCTCCGGCTGCGTCACTGACGCTTAAGGGGGGTACGCCAAGTTGTGAGCAAAAGGAGGAATGGAATGAAGAAGGGATATAGAGCGGATCATGATATCATTATAGCGGAGTTTTTTGTACATATTTTTGTAAATTCGGGCATTTTTCTTCGTGTTACTTACGGTAAAAGATTTCTTTTCTGGAAAATGGGAGGTAGGCACCTGTTAACGTCTGTGCAATGTTGGCCTGTGTATTACAGTGATCTGAAGCTTGATGACGCATCCGTTTCTGTACTCTGGCGGACTTTGTCTTGCGTGGTATCATAGAGATGTAGGGTCTCGATTATCACATTCGTTCCAGCTCACGTCTACGATGTGGGATGATGTACCAAATGTCTATTGTTGTCGGCATCATTATATAGATGGTTTGGTGGCTCTCAACAACCACATACGACCATACCCACTGGAAAACTCGGGATCCCGTCCGCTCTCCCATAGATAAGCCAGTGAGGGCCAGACTAGTAGTTGGGTCGGTGACGACCAGCGAATCCCTGGTGTTGTATGTTTTTTTGTACCTTTTTTCTGTTTCACGTTTTCATTTCCTTCATCTCGTGTTCCCTATCACTGTATTCTCGGTTTTGATATTCAAGCGTTCCATTCTGGGCTGTTTTGGCGCTTCTAATCAAGGTATTAGCGAAAACGCAGATACTACTTTATGGAATTCACATGCGCATGTTGGTCAGGTGTCGCGGCCCGCCCAGCTGACCAACAACGCACAGACCACCTATTCACATGTCCGCAGATCGGAGTCGCAAGGATCCCAAATTCCCGTCGCTGACAACAGCTTGACCCCTTGACGTCGTTGTTGCCAGATTCCAAACTCAAGATCTGGATATCCTTCCAGATCTACAAACTTGAAACGGCATCCCGACTTGCCTTTTCCTTCATCGTTGCAAGAAGCGCGATTGATTATCCTTTGATCTACGGACAACGGCGAGTCTCCCGTTCCAATCTCGCTCGGTCGACGATATTTATAGCGATCCCGAATTGCCTGTTCAACTGTCTTCGGGACACCACCCGCGACTATTGATTTACTACGAATCGTCAACATATGCATACACATCCCGAACCTACGGCGAAGAAAACCTAAACAATGGAGAAATTCTCCCAATTCCGCGACCGCGGTAAGCCTTCCTCCGTCCCTCTCCCATCTCCAACCCGCCACTAACCGATGGTGTCTTTCTACGACAGGCTCCGGCATCTCTCCATTTATGCCCTCCCCCGCCCCCACTCCGTCCCTCCTTTCCACCCTTTCGGGCCCCCTAATTTTCCTCCTCCGCCTCCCCTTCTTCGTCCTCTATACCATCTCCTACTTCCTCCTTCTCCCACTCCTGCCCTCTCCGCTGCGCAAGCTTCTGCTATGGGGCTTCTTCGCCCTAACCGGCACCTGGTGGTCGGACCTGCAGCTCGACGGCGTCAAGCGCGGCTCGCTTTCTCAACAACCGCCTTCCCGAATCCCGCGGGGCGGGACGGTGATCGCGGCGAACTTTACGAGTCCATTGGACGCGGTGTACCTGGCGGCGGTGTGGGATTGTGTTTTCGTGCAGAGCTTCCCTGGAAGCAGACAAGTGAGGAAGTTGTCTCTGTGGCAAGCTATTTCCTTGGCGCTTAGCCCGCGCCAGTTGACTGGACCAGGAGATAACGAGAAGTTGACGACGATCGCTCAGCTGCTGAAGGAACACCCGACTAGAGCGATCGCTGTCTTTCCGGAGTGCGCTACCACCAACGGCAAGGGCATCTTGCCGCTTTCGCCGTCGCTGCTTACCGTTCCGAGCTCGACGCAAATCTTCCCTCTTAGCTTGCGGTATACCCCCGTTGACGACACCACGCCGGTCCCTGGGGGAGTGAAGGTGTGGTTGAGTTTCTTGTGGAAATTGCTGGCTAGGCCGACGCACTGTATTAGGATTCGCATTGGCGAGGGGCTGGTTAATACCGTGGGGGCTAGCAATGGTGTTTCACATGGTGAGAGCTCGGCGGTGGATGTCCGCGGAAGGCAAGAGGGAGGGGATGGAGAGTTGACGGCCGAGGAGCAGAGGCTTTTGGATAAGGTGGCGGAGACGTTGGCGAGGTTGGGTAGGGCCAAGAGGGTTGGGTTGACAGTGGAGGACAAGAAGAACTTTGTGAAGGCTTGGGAGAAGAGGAGGAGGTAGATGGTGTGGGAAAGAGGAAAAGGGATGGAGGTTCCATGAGGGTTTTGGGAGAACGCTTGATGAGGTTAATGAGGATGATTTGGTTTTACTCATCAGGAATAGAAAATCTCCCTGACGTGTAGTTGGACTTTAGATTGCGAGTAGGAGCTGTCATCTT